AGCGCTTTCATGCGCGCACGGGCACTGGGAACAGGACAGAAAGCGCTTTCATGCGCACACGGGCACTGGGAACAGGACAGAAAGCGCTTCTCTGTGCGCACGGGCACTGGGAACAGTTGACTTGAGCGTCTTTCTCGAGAGAAGAGGCAGAAGAGTGGGAGGGAGGAGCTCTGAGATCTGCAATAAAATGTTGCAGCACGTCGACCCCCCCCCCCGGGAGTAGCTCATTCGGGATGCGTCCACATTCTCCCTCTCCTCCCAGCCCAGCAATGAGCAGCTCGGCTCTCCAAGGAGAGCCTGCTCTCCTCCACCCCCCTCCGGACTCCACACATGGCAGAGTCCGTGGGGTGAACAGGGAGCGCTCTGGCTTTCCAGGCGCCGACCTAATCCCCACCCCATTGGAACAGGGGGAAGATGTTCCTGGACGTGGAACATTGCTTTTCTTTGCGCCTGGCACCGCCTTCCGAACTTGCACCGGAGCCTTCTCCCCACTGGCCCCAACGTTCTTGGCCAGAGGGGGCAACTCACAGGGGCAATCCAGTGGGAGGGTGAGGCCACATGTGGGCAGCCCCCCCCCCCCCCCCCCAGCTTTCTCCCCACTGGAAACAGGTGAGGTTGGAGGAAGAGGGCCAAGGGGCTCTGAAGGGGGGCGGCTAGTGGACAAGCAGCGGGGGCCTCTAGGTTGGTTCTGCAAGTCCCCGCAAGACATGGATTGTTTCCTCTGATTATTCTGCCGCCACGACCCTGGTCTCGGCTGCCTTACGTGCTGGAGGAGCTGCTGACCTGCCCGCTTTCCCCTGCTGTTTCTCCAGGTGAGAACGAAGGACGCCTTGTTCGAGAGCATCAGCCACCTGATCAACTACCACGTGCAGAATGAGCAGCCGATCGTGGCCGCTGAGAGCGAGCTGCAGCTGCGGCAGGTGGCCTCTTGGAAGCAGTGACCCCCGGTAGGTGTCTTCCTGCCGCGCTGGACCTGGCCAAGGGCCCTCTCCAAACAGACAGATGCATTGTGGGACTCACCGCCGTGCGGTCTGGGAAGGGGTGCTCTGAAAGAGAGGAGCAGATCTTTGCCTTCCTGGGAGAGTGGTCGCTCGACTGAGCCCCTGCATTCAGAGGAGAGGGGAGATAACGTCTTATCAGCTCTGCTCTGAACGCCAGCTGCCAGATTTGGCACTGCCAGGGTGGAAACTTCAGCTCCTCCGAACTGAATCCAGCCCCCAGGCTGAAAGACGCTCAGAACCCCTGAACTGCATAGTGCAGAATTCATCTGTGTTTGCATCACACCTGATAACGCAGAGAGCTCTGATAACGATGCTAAATAATAATATTTTTTAAAGAAATGCATGCACAGATTTACTGATTGGGTGGCTTAGAAATATGGCAACTCTAAGGAGTGATTAAATAAATATATAAAATGGTTTTCTGGAGGAACAGGCTGTTCAAATAGGTCGCGGTGTTTAGAACGCAGATCAGAGAAGCGTACTTTGGGCAAAATTGGGACCAGGGCTCCTTGCACTTTGAGGAACGTGCACAGATGTGGCTTATGAATTTTCATGCAGCTTGAAACAAATCCTGGGACAAGCCAGACAGACTTTTGGGAAAATGAGGCATGGTCCTGGAACACAGAGACGCATTTCCTTTGCGCTGCCTGTGGAATACTTGGAGAAAGCTGAGTGGGGCCTTTGCCAGAAACAGCCCATCCATCTGGCAGGTGTAGCATTCACCATCAGTGCTCCGAAATCTGCATTATTTAGAGCGGCGTGGGTGGAATGAGTTGGTGAAAGTGTGCAAGATGGCCTTTTGCACCACCTCCAGATGAAACACGGCTCCCAAGAAACTTTTCATTTTTCATTATGGCCCTGACAAAAGCTCAGGTCCCAGAGGCATCTGACCAGCCACAGTTGGAAACCTCACAGGGCTGGGCGGACTGTTGATCTGAGAGCCAGTTTGGTGTGATGGAGCAAGTACCCGACTCAGGGGATCAGGTTTTAGTCTCTGCTTGGCCATGAAGTTCACTGGTTGACTTTGGGCCAGCCCGGACTACCTCTCAGGGTTGTTGTGGTGAGGCTAAAAGGAGGGAAGACACTTGTAAGCCACCCCAGAATCCTTGCAAAAGGAAGAAAGGCAGGATACGCATTCAGAGCCACAACACAAAAACCGATCTGAGCAGGGGGGGGGGGGCTTTTCTATGAGAAATGCTGCCTACGGATGGTATGTGTGTGTTTATGAAAAAATAATTTCAGGGGCTAAGCAGGTGCTTCCCCTCTAAATTTACCCCCTCCACGTGGAGCCTAAAAAAGAAGGGGGGCTTCCATAATGTGCAAGCGCTGCGTGTTGATGAGAACATGCCGTTTAACCCCAAGTAGTCGCTTCTTGCTTTAAATTGTCGGCGTGTTTCTGTTTGGGGTGATTCTGGCAAGTTACCCAGAGAGCTTGTCTTTGGGGGCAGCTGCATAAGTAATTCAACAGAAGCTTTTAGGAAGTGGGTCCCCAAAGAGGCCAAAGAAGGCCATTTGTCTCAGAAAATGTTCTTTCTGCTGCATTGACCTACGAATAATCCAGGGCATCTTCTTTTGAGTGAGGAATGACTGAACGAGCTCTGCCCACTGAAGTCCTGCCTGCCTAGCGACATCTTTGGGATCTGTGCCTATTCTTTTCTCCCTACTTTCACACCTTGCTTCCATTCCCTTTTGCTGCTCTCACCCTCCTCCGGGGTAGGTGGATGCAGGGAGTTTTCTGCATGGAGAAGCCACACGGTCCTTCCCCCACTTCTTCCCCAGGCAATATTTAAAAAACCCAAAACCAACTTGGAAATGAGCTGTGTGCGTGTGAGAGAGAGAGAGCGCGCACTCCTCCACATCTGAATGAGTGTTCTGGTGAGGAAAAGCCCTGAAGTCTGTGCATGTTTTTGAGCTGCTCCCAAAAAACGATTCAACCTGTTTAAGGAAAATAAACACAACCAGCCCACACAGAGCACGGGAAATGCACACAAACGCATTCGGCATGTGCTGAGTGTGGGTTTTTCTTGGCCTGTGGGTTACTGTGTTGTCTGAACCCCGCCATGCCAAGAAACCATGGCTGGCGGACCACAAAGACCCAGAAAAGGAGTCTTGGTTTGTTGCTGGCTTTCAGACGGCAGGTTCTTTGCAGTAAACCAATGATGGCTTCTGAGTGTACAAATGTATCAGGGTATAAGCTGGGGTGGCAACCATGCTCTGCTCAGCTCCAGCCCCACATGAAAGGGTGGTCTGCTTTTCATGGCGTCTGGACCCTCTGAACTCATGGAAATGCGAGTCAGTGTTATGCATGGCAGAGTCGAACAGCGCAACTCGCTCCGTGCCTGATTCCCCAGAGCTCTTTTCCCCATGTGCGGTAGCAACCTCAAAGGGGCTTGGCCAGCTTCTCTCGCAGGTGGGCCACAGTTTTGCATCAGGTGGCCAGTTGGTGGAGCTCAGCACTCAAGCTGGAGCATGTGTGTTCATACGCAGCAATAAATCAGAGATGAGCTCATCCCTGCTTGGATGAAGTGTAGGGGTGCTGCTCCCCGAGGACCGGGTGGCAGCTGGGCACCACTTGCCGGGGACCCCTGCCAAGGGAGGGCACACCCGAGGCAGAGGGGCCAAGCCAAGGGGCCACCCAGTTCAGCTTTCAGCTCTTTCATGCCAGTTCCCTTCCCTTCCTCTCACTTTTATTTACTAACCCATGGCCCAACCTCTCTGTGACCACTTCCATTGTTTAGCTCGGTGGGGCCAGAGCGCGCAAGTGCTGGCTTCTGAGGAGTAACGGCTTTTTCTCCGGCTGCTGTCTTTCCTGTTAGGCTTCCGGCCACCTGCGGAACAGCAGACTTGTGTGGAAAGAGCTGCTGGTGGGACCGAGAGAGAAACAGGGGGACGTGTCCATTCAGAAAAGCGAAGCGAGACCAGAACCGTGGCGCCACCCCCTCCGTCACGCACCTCTCCTGCTCTGTTTCTTCTCCATTCTGCTGCCTTCTTCTCCTGCCCAACTTATCGGACTGAGGCAGGCCTGCCCGGCAGCCCACCTTGAAGGGGTCCCCAAGGGACGGCTGGCAGAGGGGCGTGCCCCAGGAAACCAGGTGGCCAAGAGTCTTGCATGAGGGTACCCGTGACAGAAACCTGCTTCCATTCAGTGCTGGAAACTTTTCAGGGCTTTCTTCGGTAATTCAGTTTCCTGCAAGCAAACCCTGCCCTCAAGAGCTTATTGTGATGTTTATTAAATCAGGCTGTCCAGTATTTATTCTTTTGTGTATGCAAAAAGCGGGCATCGCTGAGAGGCTGCCTGAGGAATCACTGGCTGGGGTTTCTTTGGGTTCCCCGTTTCTACACCCGGGGATTGTGCAGGCACCTTCAGATGGGCGTGCTTGGGCTGAGTTAGAAGGGTTCGCCTGTCCAGGCTTAGCACTGAGTAGATGAGAGATCAGTAGTTGCAGCCATTCAGAAAGTCCAAAACGCCTGACTGGAGGAGGCACCCCGGAATTTCCGAGGAATTTTCACATGTGCTGCCAACTCTGGCAGTTTTAGTATTCCTGTCCAGCATTTCAGTTGAAGTACTTTCTCCGGGAAATGGGCGCTTCCTTCTCTTAGATCTGTCCCATGGCTTCCAAAAGGGTTCCCCCAGCTGCAGCCCCAGGCCAGCCCACTCTGGCCATTCCCTCGGTTCCCTGCGGATATTATCTGAGAAATGTCCAGCACATGCATTCATATATCTCTGACCTATTCTATAATGACAGCATTATCCAAGGGAAGTGTTTGGCTCGCAGAACAGACTGCTGTTTTGAATATGTTTCTAATTAAACATGGAAATGTTGAATGTTGCCCAAAGTTATCTTTGTTCCTTTAAAGTTGTACTTAAAAGCAAAGCAAAACACAACATTTGGTCCACAAATGCAGCTCCATTTAAAAAGCAAACGAACCAAGGCTCACAGAGATCAGAAATGGGTCTCTTGGGCCTTCCAGCTCTTTTGGACTGCAAACCCCCATCATCCCTGTGCTTCAGGTTGGCACCTGTGGGACAGTGGGCCAGAGGGACAGGAGCTGCACACGGAGCTGGATCAACCCCGTGAAGGCTGCACTTCCCGTTGTTGGCTGGAGAAAAATCTCTCTTTTCCACATCACAGAATGGGGGCACTCTAACATCGCTTCTGCGTTCTCCAGCTGCGTTTTGCTGCTTTTCTTTACTTGTAGAGCTTTTGCCCCCCGCCTCGCCCCCCAGCGAGTGCTGGTCCCTTCGATGGCTGGGATACAAATTGCACCTTGAGTTTTCTAACGCCAGCCCCCTCCCCGCCACTTGCACAGGTACAGATGAACAACTCCACCTCTTTGGATACTTGGCGGAGCATTTCCTGTTTGTATTTATCCGGCAACTTCTCTCCCTCGCTCAATTGATCGCGGTCTCCCTCTCCCTCGCTCTCGCACATACTTTTTGCTTCACCATTGTGTGAGGAACAAAGGCAAAATAAAAGGATGCGGACATTGCGGTGCTGAGCTGGAAATAGCTTCCTGCCAATGAATAACGCTGCCTGCATTGTGACAGCAACAAGAAAAAAAGACCCGCGGTACCCGGACTGCGGGGCTGGCTCTGCTGGCTGCTTTTTAGATCCGGAGGAGAGTAATTGCTTTCCATGGGCCGCCTGTCGCATGGCTGGCTCCAGCCAAGATGCCTCAAGCAGCAGCTCACTGCTCCTGTAACTCGGTCCGGGCATGAGCCGGGGCCCTTTTATGAAGCCCCCTTGGAGCGCAGGGCAGTCTAACTGGATCAGTCCAAAAGCCCACCTCGTGGAGCACTGAAGGTGGGATGGGGGCAAGTATTCCTTTTGCGTTTTGACACCCAAGTCCCTTATTCCACAGTGGTCATTGGAAGTGGTTACTGGTCTATTTCAAAGGAAACGGAATGAGTCAGAAGGGGTCTCCCGGGCCATCTAGTC